TTCTTTTAAATAATCTTCTCTTTGATACTATAGTGAAGACTACAGCCTTTACAGTTAAGCCAGGATGCTAATGTGGTCAGCACAATAAAAGTGGTTTACACTTTCCTCCTTAAAGTGGTAAACCCTTGCATCTTTGATGGTTTTTTTTTTTTAATAGGTCCAAAAATATCCAATAACTGTTTAAAATTATTGAAAGTTAAAAGATAAATGTAACACTTCAAGCACGAATAAAAAGGTTTTCACACAACTACCATGGTGTCTTGTTGAATTTGAAGGCTCGTCCACACTAGCTTTGCCCTCTTAGACTGAACCATGTTCAGATCGCTCTTCAGAGAGCATTTGACAGACAGTGAGGAGGCACTGCATCACCTCTTCATCGCCCGCTTTAAACCCCTACTAGCATACTGCAACCACACACATTGCATGCCATTGCAGAGTGGCCCCATTCATTTGAATAGGTCATGTTTGGTGGGTGGTAGCGCTCGCCGAAAGCGACAGGAAGTAGAATTCCTGCAGCAGCCACGAAGCATTGCAGCCGCGGCATGTATACACACCCAGCTGCTGACTCTGAATCTAAAAGGGAGTCGCTGTGGGGGAGAGGAGCTGTAAACAGCTAGTGTGAACAAGCCCATAAGCAGAACTATAGCTATATTTGCAAAAACTACTAGCATATAGGGTTCAATGGCAGAAAAGGCTCTTTATGTTTCTTCAGCTTCAGCCATAGAAGAGCTTTCCCTGCCTACTAGGATTTTCTTCTCATTGTATGCCAAATGCTGCTTGGAGTAAACACCAGGTACCTGGAAGATGTCCTATGCACACATGGCAGTGATGTTGACAGAGCAACCAGGGGGAGCATGGACACCACATCACTGGAGCAGGGCACTTTGGTGGGTAAGTGTGCTATAAGATGCAAGTATGCTGTGCACATTATGGCAAAAGCTCTGGGGGCCCAAAAAATGTTAAGTTCCACGCTAAAGTCAAACTCCAGTAAAGTCTTAGGATCTCAAGTTTAGTGTGCTATAATCAAAACATTTTTAACCTTCGTGCATTTTCTGTATTCGGTTTAAAAAAATGTCCCACAACTTTAGGAGGAGCATACCCACAAAGGTGCCCTTGTAGCAAATGGCTTGCTTTGGGGTCACTCGGAAAGAAAGAGGACAGCGCCGACGGGGACCACCAAGGGACTGCTTTGTACAATATCATACCACAGAGCAGGCAAGTATAACATCGTTTTAATAAAAAAAGCCTTTAATATTACTTTAACCGCTTCTATACCGGGCACTTTTACCCCTTTCTTCCTAGGCCAGTTTTCAGCTTTCAGCGCTCTCACACTTTGAATGACAGTCATGCAACGTTGTACCCAAACTAAATTTTAGTATTTTGTTCACACAGCTAGAACTTTCTTTTGGTGGTATTTAATCACCGATTTTTTTTTATGTGTTGCTAAATAAGACCAAAAATTTAGAAAAAAAAATGTTTTTCTTTGTTTCGGTTATAAAATTTTGCAAATAGTTTTTCTTTATAAATTTAGGCCAATATGTATACAGCAGAATTTCTTTGGTGAAAATAACCCAAATCAGTGTATATTATTTAGTCTGTAAAAAAGTTATAGTCTACAAACTATGGTATATACAGGTGAAACGTGAAAATTAGAATATCGTGCAAAAGTTCATTTATTTCAGTAATGCAACTTAAAAGGTGAAACTAATATATGAGATAGACTCATTACATGCAAAGCAAGATAGTTCAAGCCGTGATTTGTCATAATTGTGATGATTATGGCTTACAGCTCATGAAAACCCCAAATCCACAATCTCAGAAAATTAGAATATTACATGCAATCAATAAAATAAGGATTGTACATAGAACAATATCGGACCTCTGAAAAGTATAAGCATGCATATGTACTCAGTACTTGGTTTGGGCCCCTTTTGCAGCAATTACTGCCTCAATGCGGCGTGGCATGGAAGCCATCAGCCTGTGGCACTGCTGAGGTGTTATGGAAGACCAGGATGCTTCAATAGCGGCCTTCAGCTCTTCTGCATTGTTCAGTCTCATGTCTCATCTTTCTCTTGGCAATGCCCCATAGATTCTCAGGTCAGGAGAGTTTGCTGGCCAATCAAGCACAGTAATCCCACGGTCATTGAACCAGGTTTTGGTGCTTTTGGCAGTGTGGGCAGGTGCCAAGTCCTGCTGGAAAATGAAGTCAGCATCCCCATAAAGCCCGTCTGCGGAAGGAAGCATGAAGTGCTCCAAAATCTCCTAGTAGAAGGCTGCGTTGACCCTGGACTTAATGAAGCACAGTGGACCAACACTAGCAGATGACATGGCTCCCCAAATCAACACAGACTGTGGAAACTTCACACTGGACTTCAAGCATCTTGCAGTGTGTGCCTCTCTATTCTTCCTCCATACTCTGGGTCCTTGGTTTCCAAATGAGATGCAAAAGTTGCTCTCATCAGAAAAGAGGACTTTGGACCACTGAGCAACAGACCAGGTCTGTTTTTCTTTAGCCCAGGTAAGACGCTTCTGACATTGTTTGTTGTTCAGGAGCGGCTTGACAAGATAAATATGACATTTGAAGCCCATGTCCAGGATCTGTCTGTGTGTGGTGGCTCTTGATGCACTGACTCCAGCCTCAGTCCACTCCTTGTGAAAGTCCCCAACACTTTTGAATGGCCTTTTTCTGACAATACTCTCCAGGCTGCGGTCATCCCTGCTGCTTGTGCACCTTTTTCTTCCACACTTTTCCCTTCCACATAACTTTCTATTAATGTGCTTTGATACAGCACTTTGGGAACATCCAGCTTCTTTTGCAATTACCTTTTGAGGCTTTCCCTCCTTATGGAGGGTGTCAATGATGGTTTTCTGCACAACTGTCAGTCTGGTTCAGTAGGAATCACAATCATGGGAAAGACTGCTGACCTGAGAGACCATTTAAAGGCTCAGGAACCCTTTGCAGGTGTTATGGCTTAAATAGCTGATTAGAGTGGGACACTTTGAGCCTAGAATATTGCACCTTTTCACAATATTCTAATTTTCTGAGATTGTGGATTTGGGGGTTTTCATGAGCTGTAAGCCATAATCATCACAATTATGACAAATCATGGCTTGAACTATCTTGCTTTGCATGTAATGAGTCTCATATATTAGTTTTCACCTTTTAAGTTGCATTACTGCAATAAATTAACTTGTGAACGATATTCTAATTTTTCAAGTTTCACCTGTATGTGAAAATCAATCAATCCTGCTGTACGGATGGCCAATCTAATTTATTGAGCTCAAAAATGTCAGGAAGGTATAGATATCCCCCAAATGGCCCCTTTTTGGACAGTAGACAGTCCGAGGTATTTAGTAAGAGGCATGGCGAGTTTTTCGAACTTGTAATCTTTTGTCAAATGAAGAAATTTGAAAAAAAAAAAAAAAAAAAAATGCTTTCACAATTTTTTTTTTATACATACTGTCATCAATGCAGTATAGCATCATAACTGGTGTGGTGGTGATCAGGGACACCGACTGGTGACAGTACGGGGAAAAACAAAATAATTTTTAAAACATTACATTTTTTTTTTTTTTTTTTTTTTTGAAAGACTGACCAGAGTAGTAAAATATTACCATAGTAATATTCTACTACTCTGGGGCATGATCAGTATTTTTTTGTTTACACATAATTGTTTATAGCAGAGAATTTCATTGCTATAAACAAGTATTTATCTGAATGACACGGATTCATTCAAGTTTGTTTGTTATGATTAGCCAGGGCTAATCACATGACACAGATGGGCTGTGATTGGCCCAGTCTGTACCATGTGATCACTGTGACCAATCACAGCTAGCAAACACAATTGTAAACAGTGGATGGCATGAAAGGAAGCCATCCATTGTTAACAAATGTCAAGTGACCTGCTGTGATTGGTCACAGCGGTCACATGGTACTGGCAATGGGCTGTTAGACAGATCTGCCGGTGACACATCTCGCCATACAGCAGCCCTGCACAATACACGATCCGAGAGCATGTTATATGACGCCCACCCAGATTGACAAAAGTCCTGCATGGCTGTCAATTTGCTATTGGCCGGGCAGGAACTGGTTAAAGAGGTAAAATCTAGCCCCTGCCCCCCCCCAAAAAAAATGAAAAGTCAGCAGCTACAAATACTGTAGCTGCTGACTTTTAATATTAGGGCACTTACCTGTCCAGGGATTGAGCGATGTCCTCACCCCGAGCTAATTCTTTAATCAGCTGTCGGGTGCTGACACTGCCCTCTGGACTAAGGGAAACTGGTAGTGAAGCCTTGCAGCTTCACAGCCAGTTTCCTATCGTGCATGTATGAAGTGAGCTGCCTTTGTGACTGGCCCACAGCTCTCTGAGACCTGTGAAGTGTCCCAGAGGACTGGAGGGGGAGTTGGGCAAACTTCCAGCTCAGTTGGCCAAAACCAAGTACCCCCTCCCCCCCAAAAGGTGACGAATGTGGCACCGGAAGAGGGGAGGAGGCAGAAAAGCGGAGCTTCCACTTTTAAGTGAATTCCACTTTATGTCTCACATGGGTCCTACCTTATTTTTACAGCAGGCATTGTTCCATGTGCTAAAATTTAACCCTACCCCTTCAAATGGTGTACTAATTACTTCATCGGTCAGTTTACAATGCAAACTGGAGGATAGGATTTGTCCAGTACAGGTTTACACCTTTGATTTGTTAAACAATTATAGATTTGTAGCTATTCAAATGTCCCTTACCTGCATTAGGTTGAATCTTGCCACTTCGTTGATAGGTGCATCTGAGATAATCCCATACTGCTCAGGGTTGACGATTGCAGGACAGATGAAACAAGTTAGCAGTAGATCAGTGCACATAGATCTCACTTCACCAACATCCAATCCTTCCACGCAAGAAAGTGTTTTATACATTTGGGAGACAATCCACCTCAAGCTGTGTGGGAAGCAGTAAGTGTTGTGCTTTAAGTAACCAATAAATTTGTTAACTAGTGCAACCAGTTTAGCTTCATTGGATTCAACCATCTCCTGGACCTTCTGCCTAAAACGGTCACTTCCCTTCTCCCCAAACAGCTTCTCTTGCTGGGCTGGAGAGAACCTCTCAATTAGCTTGCTTGGATCAGTCTCCAGGTGATCTTCATCCTCAACTAACAGCTGCATGATAGGTTCATGTAAAGTTGCCGTTAAGAAGAGTTTAGCTGAGAAAAGCCCTTCAGAAAAAAGTTTGAAGATGATGCTGAAGGCACAAGTCCCTTTCCGTAGCAAACGACGAGGGTTATCGCTTTCCTTCAGTTCAAACTCTATTAAATACCGTAAAACCTGTAACAGATAGCTCTCATCCTCTTGCATAATGCAGTTGCCATAAAGAGAGGTGAACACGGTGTGTATAACACTCTGAGCATTTTCTTGGCTGAGTTTCTCTCCAGCCACGAGACAGGATGCAATGAGCCGTGGATTTTCTCGCAGTCGATTGAGAAATTCACCATATGCAGTCTCCTGAAATCCTAAATGTTTGTAACCATCCACAAACTGGGTGTCCTCTAGGAGCTTTGCATGTTGACAACACTCAGCTGGAGAGGCTTCAGCACTAGGAGAAAAAAAAAAATAGCATGAAATGTAACCCATGACATTGTAGGTTCTTACATTTGTGGGAGAAGTGTTAGAAAAAAAACAACTACAAGCAAAATATGGGCTTACGCGGAATCAAAATTGTACAAGTCAGACCAGATTAAGATATAAAATCTATTTTTGCATTTTTACTTTGAGCTTTACATTTTTGCAGTGTTTCCCTAAAGGGGGTATTGAATTAAAATTCACAGGAGGTCAAGTCAGTAAAATTTTCTTCCAGCAGAAGTCCAAATTGCATGTTTGATTCTTAATGGCACCTCTGCGCACTGGCAAATGCGGTGCATTTTTGCGAGTGCCAAACTGCACGATGCTGCAGCACCATGTGACGCATTACAGCACAATTTAAAATAAGGGTCAGGGACTTCTGTTTCTGCATGTAAGGCAGCCCACTGAAATGAATGGGCTGCCTACACGTAGACTGCAGGACACAACAATGTGAACCTAGTCTTAGCTCCTTCACATCACATCTCCCCTCCTTTATATCACAGCGCCCTTCACATCGAGAATACATCACAGTCCACCACTTCACATAGGTGTCCGTGCCCTTCACATCACCCCCCTCACATTCCTGTCCTCACCCCCTTTATAGCATCCCCCTTCACATTGCAGTCAGCAGTCCCCCTTCATATCACCCCCACGTCACATTCCTGTCCTTACCCCCTCTACAGCACACCCCGCCCCCTTTCATCCTGAAGGGGGGGGGGGGGGGAATGCACAGCCCTCTTCCCTTTCCCATCTTACACAGGGTGGAGGGCAGGAGGCACGGCAGGTCTATAGTGGACAATGGGAGGCAGGACAGTTCAGGATGGAGGGGTGGAGTTGCACAACTTTTTCTGTTAACTAGCTTGTAACTGGTTGCTAGAACTGCCCTGAATCCTAGCAGCCAATCAGTTATTGGGGCAGCTCCCGCCCTCCTGTTCAGTGCTGTGCTGCCACCCAATGTCACCTCTGCAAAGATGACAGCTCTAGCAGCAGCTGAGAGGAAGAACCAGCAGCTCCTAAATGGCGTGACCGCGGCAGGTCCAGATGGGACAGTGACTCCGCCCGGATTCAGATCACAGTCCGTCATTTTGTGATGCCTGCCCTAAAGGGTGAGGCATGTACCATTAGCTTAGTACACAGTCACAGAAGAAATCTTCCAAAACAGGAAATGTACTCCCTATGGGGCAAAAGCTCTACTGATGGTAACCAGGTACCAGAGTTAAACTATGGATCCGTTTGTTCTGTGGCTCCCATGATAGTTTTAAGACTGCCATACATGGTTCAAAATTTTGCCAGTTCAGCACGGACTGGCCACATTTCAATCCATGTATGAACACTGACGTTTTACAGAAGTCGTTCTACTGATGGATTTCTGTAAAACTGCCCTGATGGATTTCCCCTGCCCGATCAGTGCGACAGGTCAGCAATACTGATGGCGAAGGAAGTCTCCCCACTATCAGAACTCAAAAGCTCAGCATTGAGGATTTCCCCACATGCACATCCAGTGTGTGGATGGGGGAATGGAGGTTTTTTTTTTTTATCATTCTACTGACTGGCTCATCTGTGGGCTACCTTATTAACATACTGTCAGAGCTAGCTGTGTATGGACAGAAGACAAGAAGAGGCAAGATCCATAACAGTGAAAACATTAAGACAAAACTGAGCTGAGTGTGAATGGATTTCATCAGCATTTACAAGCGAGAGATTAAGCTGTCACAACACAGGTGATAAAATATAACCTACAGTAAAAAAAACCTTCCCCTCAAAATTGTAGTTACTATTAGATCCCAGTTAGGATGGTGGTAATTGAGCCCAATAACATCTTTCTACCAGTCTGTTTACCGTATCTTGGTTTAGGGGTTTTGTGTTTTTTTTTAAAAAAAGCCTTGTTCACACAAACTATGTCTGAATACCGTGAAAAGGCCGTTTTTTGTTTTTTTTTTGCAGCGAGGTGTCTAGAATCCAGAGGCCACGTGCAGGCATTGCCCAATGGAGTCTATTAAAATGCAGGAGCTGTATGGATACAAACGTTCATCCTTACACAACAGGTGTGGGCAAACAGCTTTGAACGCACACTTTCTACACTCGGGACTGCTCACTTGCATTAGGATGAGCAGTTGTGTCTGTGCAGCTACTCTGCCTTTATAAGCTTCAATGGGCTGCCAGAAAAGCAGCAACTGGAGTCTAGACACGATATATGGGCCTCAGTACTTGTGTCAACGAGCCCTAATGAGTTTCTCCCTCATCGTTTAAACAACAACCCTGATAACAGGAAGCTCATCCTCCCTTTCAATTCCTTAATAAGTGGCAGGATGAAAAATGCTTCTTACGAGATCTTAATTTCTAATTAGATATTATAATATTGATAACTGGGTAGCACAGTGGCTAAATGGTTAGCACTTCCACCTGGCAGTACTAGGGTCGTTGGTTCAAATTCCAATCACGACACCTCCTGCCTGGAGTTTGCATGTTCTCCCTGTGCCTGCGTGGGTTTCCTCCGGGTACTCCAGTTTCCTCCCACACTCCAAAGACATGCTGGTAGGTTAACTGGCTCCTGTCTAAATTGGCCCTAGTATATGTATGTATGAATGTAAGTTAGGGACCTTAGATTGTACACCCCTTGAGGGTTAGGGACTGATGTGAATGTACAATATATATGTAAAGCGCTGCGTAAATTGACGGCACTATACAAGTACCTGAAATAAAATAAATAACTGCTGTCTATTGGATGGTATACTTGTGTACTCTGCTATGCTGTGCCTTACAGTATATGTAATAGAGTATTGTATTTGTATTGATCCACCTATAATTATATCAACACTCACCAGCCCATATTTGTACCCAACAGCTGGTTCACAACATAGTGTACATTTTTGATGAGTCCTGGTTCTTTTTTTTTCCCCTCTCAACTTCAACTTAAATAAGGATATGTGCATTCCAATGCGTTTTACTGTGTTCCAGTACAGTTCAGTGCAGAAAAAATGCAGCAGGTTTTACTTTTTTTCTGTAGCTGGAATGCACTGGAACTGACTGCACTGGTGTGAGATATGCCATTGGAAACCATGTAACCCATCAATGGGTTTTTGATGCAGAAAAAAAAAAAAAAAAAAAAAAAAAAAAATCACTGAACTGCCTGTGGTGTAAACTGGCCCTAAATGTATACAAGCATCGTTCTGTGAGCGTTTCCCGTACTGCGTTCAAAACACACTGTTCTTGCGATCTGCAGCAGGTGTCAGTGCACTGCTAACGACACCCCAAACACAGGTCACAAATGCAGGGTATTTGTCTGCAGCATATCACATGGTACAGAAGTATTGATCACTACAGTAGGACGAGTGTCTCAATTGTACTTTTCAGGGACATGCCAATACAAATAAATTATCATTGAGCTGGACGATGGAGCTTATTTACCAAAACTGGAGAGTGCAAAACTTGGTGCATGTCTGCATAGAAACCAATCAGCTTCCAGGTTTTACTGCCAAAGTCTAATTGAACAAGTTGAAATTAGAAGCGGATTGGCTGCCATCTACAGCTGCACCAGATTCCGAGTTCAGTTTTAGTAAATTTCCCCCAACGTTATCACGCGAAGTCCCTGTTTTTTTTTTTTTTTGTTTTGTTTTTAGTGCAATGGCTACCAATAACCTTGAATTTGTTTTCCATAATTGCATAAAAAAGTGGGCATAGCATCAGATATATTATTTAGGCCTCATGCACCCTACTGCTCTCAAAACACGTTATTCGGGCTTTTGGCATTTTTTTTTCCTAAGCCCCTGAACGCATCTCAATAAAAGCCTGTGTCTCCATGCACACTTTTAGAAGAGTTTAGAGGCAGTCAAAGCTCCTTCTCCTGAATGTATAAGAATCGTGTTCGAGAGAGGAGATTTTGGGCATAAAAACCGCCAAACACAGCTAAACACGCTTAAGCGCATTTGGCACTTCAGAGTTTATTAATTTCAATGGCCAGAATAAATAAAAAATTCTGGCCAACGAAAAACAAATGTTCAAACTCCAAAAGCTGCTAAACGCTGCAAAACTGGTGTGAAAAAACTCTGCTTAGGTGAGTTTTTTAAAATACAGATCTTCTCTTATCAGGAAAAGCAGTGTTTACAATAAACCAGTGTACATGAGGCAATGTTAATTGCATGCATGCCGAGTTACATCTAAGTTAATACTGACAAGTACTTATTACAATCCACAGAGATCTATTGCTTCCCCTACTGATGCCTTCATCTTACACATCAAGATCGACTTTTTTTTGCTGGAAGGATGGCAACAATACAATGGGTATACCCAATCATCCTCCCTCTATATAAATAGATGCATGAACTGAACTGATGTACTCCTTTAGAAATGCATACCTTTTCAGTTCATTATACAATGTGCAAATTCCACCTGATCGAATGGTATGAGTAACAATACTGTGTAATGTGCCACATCTCGATCCATACGAACGTAATTCACTTGAAAACAAGTGTTTTGTACCTGTTACTAATGTATGTTCACTTATTAAGTATAACAGCACTTGCTATTTTTTTAACTTCTTTGGAGTGTTGTTTCTATGTACCTATAACTTCTATAAAAAACCTCTTCAAAAAAAAAAAAAAAAAAAAAAAACACAATTATTTTGTCTGCTTTTTTCTGTAGAAGGACAAAGCCATCCTCTGGGCTACGATGCTAGCTCAGAGATGAACCAATCATGTAAACCCCGATGTCTGTAGTTCATGGCTGTGTTCACGAATGTTTGGCACAGATAAGCCCCTGCTGCCTCCCCTCACCTTACAACTTGCTGCACGCAATGCTGTCCTATAATCACTGGGGAGAGGAAACAGGAAAAATGCTTCCTACTGCCTGCAGCAGAATGACATCATGTAAAAGCTAAGAAATGTGACCTGACCACAACTCAATGACAGCTTTTTAACCACTTGAGCTCCTGAGGATTTACCCCCCTTAATGACCAGGCCTCATTTTGCTACTCGG